AATATAATACATTCTTCAAGAGGTAATTGAACTTCTGTTTATCTGTCTGAAATGCTTTGAAAACTGGTTACGCTTTTAATAAAAATAGTAGTTCTTTTCTCAATGTGAAAATAGCTATTTTGAAACCGTTTGTGTTTCCTTAAACTCTTTTCAGAAGATACTTTCAAAATACTCTCGAATTCACTTTAAAATTCCAAAAGCAATGCATGAAAATAAATGCAACAAAGATTTCAATAAAAAATCTCATCAATTAGGGTTCATATAAAATATAAGCATGAACAATAGCACAAAAATATCAATATACATCATATTACAGTCTCATAATATAAGAATTTAAAAATTCAGAGCAATAGCATAATTTATATTAAGAATTCCATAAAACTAAGAGTAAAATCCTAAATTCAATTTGCTACTGACTGAATTGAGATGTATGACGTGAGGACAAATTAGCTCAACATTGTGAATGGTCTTACAAACCGTATACACTCTAAATTCTTGAAAAATGTGAGACCTTTGGATGAAAAAATGAGAAGAATTAGTTTCTTGAACCTTATATATGGATTTTCTTAAGAATCTACGGATTTCATGAATAATAGATATTAATTGGCGCTTGAATTTTATTTAAAAAATGAAATTCTATGGTCAAAATCTTACATTGGATGAAGGATGAAAATTGGAGGAAGGTAATTTCTTGAAAATATATCTTTCTATGATAACTTAATGAACCGAGAAAAACTACGTCTTTGAGGGATATTTAAAGATCTAGACGCCCGCGCTTCCGTGCGGAAAATACCTCAGGCGTGCAAGCAACTACGCAAGAACGCAATAGTTTCTGCCTCAGCGTAAGCCCGCGCAGAAAATGTCTCAGCCGCGCGGCCGGTGGGTTGTAAGATAGTGCCTAACAAAATGAGCATAACTTTTTATTTGAATTCCAATTGATGCAAACTTGGTGGCGTTGGAAAGAAGATTCAAATATCTTTAATATGATATGTTAAGTGTCACATAACTATTTATATTGTAAGAGATATGATCGTATGAAGTCGACTCAAATAGAACTTTATATCAAAACTCAATAGGTAAAGAACCTCTTAACTTAACTTTATGCTAGAGGATTCTTGTGACCTTAGTAATTCATCTCCAAATTTATACCCACACTAAATAATTGACCTTAACACCTACGTATGAAAAATGATTCAGGCCATAAATTAAAAAATTTTAGAGTGTTACATGATGGTTGTTATTTTCAAGTTATGTATATGTATGCATATGAGTTGTCTCTATAGTGAAACCTATACCATGTCTGTTGGAAAAAATATAAGGGTTGAATGCGAAATGATGAATTATTGTCAGTTTCATGTAATGAATATATTTTGTTTATTGATATCTCACGTGATTATGTTTACTACAAAAGAAAAGGTCATTTTGTGGTGGATTATTTATCGATTTGTGGGAGTTTTTGATCCATACAAAATTAATTGAGGCGGTTTTAGAGACTGCCATAATTACATATGTCATGAGCATATTTGTGACGGTTTAATAGAACCTCCATTACGTCCTCACAAAATGAATTTGCAATTTGTGGTGGATTCTAAAATCAATTTGTGGTAATTCGTAACCACTTAAATATGATTTTAGAACTTCAATAATTACAGTCTACAAGGGTTTATTATAATCCACACAGTATAGTCTAAATATCCTATTTAATTCTTTTGAAAGAGTTTCTTTTATCATTTTTTTTATTTATTTTTTTATCCTCCCTAGGAACTCTTGCTCTCTTGGTGACTCGAACCTTCACCCAATTCCTACGCGTTTAGCTCCATCGGCGACTAGAACTGGCATCCTTTAGGTTGGAAGTGAGGGGTGCTTACCATCCAACCAACTCCCTCTCGTCATTAAGAAACTTGAGTTCTGTCATTTATAACATAAATTACATTTAAAATATTCAAGTTACAAAACAACATAAATCTTGATTCATGATAAATTTACACAATTAGTAACTATGTATGATAACTTAAAGTTTAAAACTTTAACAAGTGATTTCACATCAAACAAATGTAAAAAAGGTAATACAGTGATTTGATTATAGTAATTTGAGTTTATTGTTTTTATTTCATATTATCTTTCATCACAACAGCACCATACATTCTTATAACATAATAATGTTTTATTGATATAGTATTAGATGAATTTCACATTTTAATAAATTTATATTCATTAACTTTTAGATAAAGACAAATTTATACATTCATATGTAAAAATTATCTTAACTATATAGTAATTGGGTCTTAATAGAACATCATAATATTTAAATCTGTATTTAAAGTCAAATATTAAAATTTAAATGCACCACTTAATTATGTTGAGATGTTGACATCTTAATCTTATTAAAAATAAATGATACCTAAATCATCTCAAATGATTTCTCATTTCAAAGTCAAAACGTGCTACTAGTACCTTATGGTGAAGGTTGTTATTTTTAATCTTACCTAATCTTGTGATCATATTGCACATCCAACATCCACTTTTTTGAAATATTCATCTCATGAAAGTATATTAATCTTTATCGACTTAATACTTATTATCATATAATTGTCATCATATAAATTTACTTTTTACTTTAGTGTGTGTGTGTGTGTATATATATATATATACACATATCACATAGGTTCTCAGTAAATTTTTTATTTTAATCATTCAATTACATATTATAGGAGTAACATTTTCATCTATTATTTCATTCTCTTGAAATAGTGAACCTAAGTATCTATATTGTTTGTACTTTGATACCGCAATTCAATTTATAACTTAATTTGCTTTTCTCATATTAATTAAATATGCAGTGCATTTAATTAGTTGTATTTCTACTTCCCATGATTACCTTGTTTTCTAAAGTGTTTTCTGTGTTTAAGTTTTTTGATTTATTTTCTATTTTGTACAAGTGTAACAAATTGTAATGAATTGTGTCATTTACAAAGCTTCACAATTTGATGTAATTTGCAGAGGTTATCACAAACCTCCACTATAAAACCGCTACAAATTATAATAAATTTTGACATTAACTCTACAAATTGTAATAAATTGTGGCACAAAACCTCACAAATCGGTGTATAAAACTGTCACAAAATAAATTATATCGGAGGGGTTAAAATAAACTCTACAAAATGATTTTATGGTGGAGTTTTTTAAAATCCCACAAATAAACCTCTGCAAATTACCCTTTATTTTTTTTATAGTTGGGTGACTATCAGTTGGCTTGTACCACACTTGGTACGGAATATCTTTCGATTGGTTTGGGTACCACACCTATTATAAAATATCTCATAATTGGCTCGGATACCACGCTTAATTGTCATAAAGTTTCGCTCTTTCTTCCTATTTTCTCTCCATTTTTTCGGTATGCCGATTCCCTTGTGAAGAAACCTTACCCCTAGAACAAGAACCAGGTTCTTGTAATTTTGTCGTAACACAATAAAACAAAGATTTATCATGGAAACCTTCCTAACTCAAGGAAGGAAAAAACCACACCGAAGTTTTATATTAATTCAAGATTTACAACTCAGTTAATCAATGAATCTAACTCTAAACTTCTACCCTTTTCGATTAACTATAATCGAAAACTCTCCACTCAACAAGAAGTCAAACTCGCTTCTTGTTTACAAAAACTCTCAACTCTTCTTAACTCTAACCACCCAAGACGTCAAACCCACTTCTTGTTAGAATTCTCTCAAGACTCAACTCCCAAGAAGTCAAACCACTTCTTTTTACAAATTTTAGGAATTATTACAACTCAATAATAAACCTAGAACAAATCAACAAAGACTAATAACCCTAGACTTTAATTGATCAAACTTCAATATCCAATAGTTCTGAGTAAAACAGGTTTCGTGAACCTGGTCCTTATTTTGCTGTGATGAAGGTGAACTTGTTCCTTGCGTTTCTGTGACGAAGGCTTGCGTTTTTCTCCAGAAAATACTGCTATCAAGATGATATATTTTGTGAATATGCAATGGCAATTGTTCTGGCTTTGTTGATAAATTCTCTCAATTTTTGTTTATGCAAAGATACTTTTTTCCTTCAACTTCTTGATCCTTTTATAGATTTGATTTGACTTCATCTTCTATAAGGAAAGGAATTACAAATCTTTTTCCTTCTTGAACTTGTCTATTTAATTCTTTCCTTATTTGACTTGAATTGTAATTTCTTTATTTCTTTCTTTCTTTGACTTAAATTGTTAGTTTTTTATTTCTTTCCTTCTTTGACTTGAATTGCTACTTTTTTATTTCTTTACAATTCTGCACTTTTTCTTTTTTGCCTCAATACTTTTTCTTCTTTGCCGTAATCTCTCATAATTGTACAATATGACACCATGCGTTCACTTTATCAATCATCAAAACTACTTTATTTGTTCTCCTACTTCACAACATTTTCCCCCTTTTTGATGATGATAACCAATGATTTATTACACATCAAGACTATTTGTTCGTCATCAAAACTACAACTCTTTGTCATCCATCAAAACTACAAACTTCATGTTTTCTCATAACTCAACACCTTGATCTTCTTCTTGGGATACAACTCCAAGTATTGTCCATCCCATGTCTATTCATCGGGTTTTGACACGATCTCACCCTTCTCTTTTGATTACATACGTGATGTCGGATTCATAATTCCCAGTTCGGCTGGAAAGTGGATGCAAAATCACCGGTCTTAATCTATTTTTCACTTAAAAAGTCAGAAAGTACATATTATCGATTAGCTCCGGTACCATGCTGATATTTTCCATCTATTCGAACTCAAAGCTCTTTAGATTTGTTTTTCACGTTTTGAGGTTGCATCCCTTACTTCAAACTAGGTTGAGTTTTGGTACACGATTTTCAATTTCTGAAAGGTTTTCTCTGTTATTTAAGACCTTGAGTTTGATTGTATGAAAGATGTTTTTGATATTTAAAACTGTTTCTATTGTGTGTTTTGATGGACTGTGTGCAAGTATAAGATCAATCTTAAGTGAGCAAGGGTGGAGCATTCATCACTTAGAAATAGTGGAGTTACAAAGATTGTTAGCTCATCTGCCAAAAGGGCAAGTGATGAGATGAAGTTGCAAGACTTGATTTTTATCAACATACATTTGAACAATTCATTCAAAAAAATTACGAAGACTGCTTCTCCATTCAGCAAAAATTAGAGGGATGAATCGCCTTTTGCTGCCATGGTGTTGCTTCTCTTCATCCAGTTATCCGGCATACGGATATTATAAGTAGAACCAAAAAGGGATGTGCTAACCTTTACAAACAAAAACTAAACAGGCACAAAGAAAGTAAAACTACAAACATAATCGGGTTCGTTGCTCTTCTCTTTCTTCTCCAGTTAATGTTGAGGAACTCACGCCTCTTTCAGCTAAACATCTCTTATATGGAACAAAACCCTTCACACGCTTCGTGGAATTTGCTCTTCGCTCAAACAAAGAGGGTACGCTGGCTCTAACCGACTCTTCTACCACATTTCTACTACTCTGAGCTTCAATTTCCATGTTCTTTTCTCCACTCAACTCTGCATCTACTGATTCTGCATTGGAGCCGGTCGAAGACCCTTCCTTTTGAGTTTCCTTTCCTTCCAAATATCTGTCATTAAAGAGTGGACGTCCCTTCATTGGAATTGGGCTATGCACCTGAGTGCAAGGAACTGCACATGATGATCCCCACGGCAAATGAGTAGTTGCAACGCCACTTTGGTTAGGCCCTGAACTTCCATTTGGTGTGGTAAAGTAATATGACGGCGTAGGAGGGACGATAGAAAAGGTACTTTGAGGACATTCTGAATCCCAGGGCAAATATTTTGCAGGGAAGGAGCTTCGAGTCAACGTCTCGTCTGTCGGTGGCATATGAGCATCAGTAACTAATACGGTTTTACCAAACAACTTCAGACACTGTGTGGATGATGCCTCATCCGAGCCTTCTTTCACAAAATCATTGTCTTCCGGAAACAACTCTAGTTTCTGGAGTTACAAATCACAATGAGAAATCATACATATCGAATCAAAGAAGACAGCTGAGCAAGCTAGTACGTACCACACAAGCCTGATTGGCCGGATTTGAAGTAGCATAAGCTCGGGCAGGTGACGATCTGCTCTCCTCTACAACCAAATCGAATGGTTCAGAAAGTACAAGATCACCAGAATTCTCAGCGACAGCTGAGGAAACAGGTGATGACTGCTCACTTGGCTTAGTGGAATCCACCGTACCAAATGCATCTGAACCAAGGGTAGACAACACAGAGGTAGGAGACTGATTCTCTGGCTCAGAGAGACAGAGATCAGGTGAACCAGATCTGTTCAATTTCTCTGAAGCCAGGGTTCCACTTTTAAGTGGAGTTGCCATTTTTCTTGGATAAGGGTGCATCGGCTTTCTTTTAGGCCGAGGAGGAGGGATCTCAATGGATTTCACAGAGCTTGCATCACCATTACTCGATTCACGAACAACCTGAAAACACTTTTATGTCAACAGCCAATACAAAACAGATGCAAGCACAAACAATAAAATGGGATAAGAGCGAGGCGCAAACCTTTGAAAAGAACTTCTGAGCATGGCTTCTAATCTGAACTGCAGTTTTAGTTCCCACATGCTCTGAGAATTAAACAAGGTCTCTTTAGTATGGAGTGACAACTCAAACAATCCATATCCATTGATTGTATTAGTTGTTTACCTTCTATTCGTCGCCATGCCCTACCATGAAGCTTTAATGCTTCAAGGAACTTTTTGTGCTCTTCCTCAGACCACCTCTCCCTTTGCTTTGAAATGGTGTATGGTTTTCTTATCTGTTTTGAATAAGAAAATAAACAACACTCACTCAGACATGTGTCTTTTTAACACAAACTTAAGGATTGTCGGCAGAGCAACGAACCTTAGGAGCATATTCTTCTCCTGGATTAACTTGCTCATCCATCTGGATACTCCTTGGAGAAGGAGCTCCAACATCAACTGACATCCTATTCCTACAAGGAAGTATCGAGTCCGACTCGCTTTGATCCTAAAATTTCAAATTACCATTAGTTTCACAAGCTTTTCAAATTCTACAATTCATTCCAAAATCTACACTCAATAGCTTTTCATTCGGTTATTACATCCAGATAACAAGTAATAACATGCAATTTGTTCTCTCTCTCTCTCTCTCTCTCTCTACTTCAACAACAGCTACAGTTCAATCATAAAATTAATTCCACATATAACATAGATTTCCAAATACATCAAGCCATTTATAAACAACAACAGCTATAATCTGAGAGGAAAAAAAACATCTTTTTAACCATTGAGAACAGGGCAAGAAATCTATCATCTAAAGTTTAATAAGAATAAGATGCATACCCCTATAGTCATTTCTGCTGAATCAGTACTCGTTGAGTCCTAAAATAGAAGAAACCCAGTTTTACCCAATTAAATTCTCTTCAGTTCCAAAACCCAGAAATATCAACCGTTAATTCCAAAAAATCACACGATCTAACAACCCCCACATACAGAACTGTAGCTCTTCACACCCTGTTCACTTTTACAACCACTAAAAACAATCTTTCCCCTTTAAAGATCGAAACTTTCATCCTTATCCTCACCAAAACACAACATCAAAGTTGTTAAATCAAACCAAAAATTCAATAAATAGACAAATAGTTCTAGAATTCCCAAGAAAACACTTGATAGATAAAACTAAAAACAAGTGTGAAACAACACACAAATATTATTTATTTATTTTTTTTGAAGAAAGGAGGAAGAAGAAGAGAAGAGAAGAGAGAGAGATGGAAAATGAGAAATAATTTCGAGTTTTTTTGGGGGTTGAAAAGGGAGAAAAAGAAGAAGGGAAGTAGTGCCACGTCATGGGTTAAAGTGAAAGTTTCATTTTCTTTTGGGGGTATTTTTAGTATTTCTGGTAGAACAACCGAGAAATCCATTCAACTCTTGTGGCTCACGTTTAATGACACGTGGCAATTTCATATTTTTTTGTCTAAATAAAATATCGTGTTTTAATTTAAGCCAATATTTTACACAAAAAAAACTTCATACTCGCGAGTAAACCAACTGGAACCTTGTACTGCCTTCTTTTGTATAACACGTGTCAACTTTTTTATGGATAACACTTTTCGCTTTTTCTGCCCCACTCGGTGGGGTAAACAAGTTTGACAATTTCATTACTTTTTCAATATTTTCCCTCTTTCAAATCATGCAAATTTTTTTTTTGGTTCTCAACAAGATATTATCCAACTACTAGATTTTTTATCAAAAATAAAAATTATTTCTTTTCTTTCATTTTAAGAAAGTTAAACTTTGTTCTTAATATATATGATACTAATATCCAAACAAACATCCTATTAATTTTTTATTTTTATTTTTTTGTTATTTTTACATTAAAAATGCAGGCAACATGTCTTTTTTATAGTAGTTGATTGTGAGTATCAGGTAGAAATTTATATGTATACCTTTCTATTTGGGTGGTCAAGGATACTAAAATTATAGTCCAAAATATTTACTATTTTATAAAACTAGTATTAATTGTTAATATTTTTACTTCTTATATTAGATGAATATTTTATAAATTTTATACTGTAATAAGAAATCATTAATAGATTGATTAATTTTATCTTGTTTCTCTTCGTTCATATTAATTAGCCTTTTGAGATAGAAAAAGTGGAACTTTAAAATTTGTTTAAACTTTCAGAGGTAATATTAATTGTGGGGGTAATATGAAAAAAATTAATTAATTATATCTTGATATAATAAGTGATCCAATAATATATGATGAATATTTTTAATAAAATGCTTATCTTATATAGGATGGAGGGAGTATTGATAATATAGTATAAAAAGTTATAATCTGAAAAGTACAAACAAGTGATTATTAGTTGATATTATAATTGTCCAAATCTGTATGTTATTTGTTAGAAGAAGAAAAAAATTAAAGCTTTGAGGTGAGAAATATCACTAGCTTTCAAGATTTATTAGTTGTATATTCTGTAAGGGTTGACAAGAATTTCTCCGAATAAATACAACAAAAACATAAAATATATATGCAATTGAATAGTACAACTTTTGAGATATATTGTATTTATAAATTAATTCAGTAAGGAGATTTTTCATGAAGAGACGCTCTTTTTCTGAACAAACGTAATCTTTAGTTGTTTTCTTTCCAAATAGGTAAATTTTTTGGTTTAATTTGAAATTTAAATTCTAAATAAATAATTTGTTTAATGGTGACATAATAAAAAAAAACACATGACAAGATAAGAAAATTTTTGACGAATTTTAATTTAATTTTTTCTCTAAATCACTAAACTCAATTTCTTTTTAGAGTGCATATTTTTTGTTATATTGCTTGAAGAATATTGTTTTCTTCCTTCTTTATATGTGATTGGGATCGGTGTCCATATTATGTGATTGAGTCATGTGTTGATTTGTATTATTATATTGTGAAAAATTGCTTACATTTATATTATGGACTGACATTGTGATTATATTAGTGTATTGTGGTTTATGTATTGATATTGTACCTAGTCTTTACTTGTTGAGTACATGACATCTTTCAATAAATGATTCGAGACTTCAATTAAGGAACATCGAATTTCAAATTCAAAGATGAGCTATTCTTTCATGCTGCCATTGATTCCTTTATTTTTCTTGTCCATATTTTCGGACTAAGACATTCTTAGATTATAGGTAATTTGTTTTAAGCTTCGGTGTTGCATATCATTTATGTTAGACATTAGAATTATGATATTACGACTTTGAGTTTTTATGAATTCCTTTGGTTGAATTTATGGAGACTTAATCCTTAGTTATTTTTTTAAAAAAAATTTGTTAATGTTATATGATGAATTTATTTCAAAGGAATGTTTGTTTAATTTAGTTGGGTTAATTGTTGATTCTACAATCATGTGATTCGATATGAATATCATTCACTATGATCAAAATCGTAACAAATTATTTAGTTTTTTTAAATATTACCGCTAAAGTTAGCCTAATTATTTTTTTATTAATAAAGATGAATTACTAACGAAAACATCTTATTTATAATTCTATAAGACACATGCAAAAGTATTATAAAATAATTAGGAAAAATGGGGGTTGTGCTTATGTTTAAAAAAATAAACCAAAGACAAAATAGAGACATATTAAAACAAGAAGATGTACGAGTATAAAGGGTCTACTTTTCATCACAAGATAAGGTAATGAATTGATATGCTAGTAGTTGGTAAGAAGTAATTTTCATTATGAGAAGGCATATAATAAATCTTCTACATTAAAGCCCCATAGATTTTATTGATGTGGTGATCGAATAATGCAAATAGTTAAATCAATTTATTTATTTAAGAAAAAAAATGAAAATAGCAAGGGCCAACATGTTTTGTGCATAAATAAAGCGAGTACAAATCTCAGCCACACCTCTACATAAAAAACCTCTTCGCTCCCTAGAAAAGACACTACAAAATATCCAGCCAAATAATATAAATAGGATTTCTTGTGTTTTAATTTATTTGTCTTATTTTTGTTAATATATTTAAAAAATATTTTTTTCTTTTTTTTTAAATAATTTAATAATTTTAACTTTAACGTGATATGTTTAAGATTAGAAACTAAAAGACTAAAATACATTCTATATTGATCTTTGAGGGGTATTGATCATCAGCAGAGTAGAGTTAGGTGGGAGTTTTTGGATTCGGATATATCCAGTAGCTTTTTTGTAGACTCTATATTTATACTAAAAAAATAATTATATATACATATGTTTATTAATTTGTGCACTCCAAACAAATGGATAATTAATTGAATTTAGAACTCCAAAATTTTAATAACTCAATATTAAATAAATATTTCTTTCTCTTTTTTAATAACTCAATAATTTTAACTTTCTACCTGACATGTTAAAATTTACAAAATTAAAAAGTATTTTAATACATTCTATATATTCGTGTCCAGTCATGATATTCGAGGGGTGTTGATCATCAAAACCTAAATAATTCTTTTTATGTATATATCATATATAGATATTTCTTGACTTTTCGCAATTTTTCTTCTTTATATTTTGATTAATTTTTAATTAAAATTTTGAAGTTTGTTATTTTTCATGTCATGTCAAAACATGATAATCAAATTGAAACGAAAGGATCGTACTTTTTTTCTAGTTTATTTTATTTCTTCTTTTAAGGATAACGTTTTTTTAATTAAAAAAAAATTATGATATTTTTTGTGTGGACTAAGAAAGAAAAGTAAAATATCTTGAACCAAGAGTTGTGGATGATGAAAAATAATTAGTAAAGTATTGTTTATCTTGTTATTTTGTGTGGGTATGAATGAATTGAAAGGAGATGAGGATGAAGTGTAATCACTTTTTTGTTTACACTTTTTGCCACGTCAACACCACTGGCCGCCTTTTCATAAATCCTGATGACACGTGTATTTATTTAATCAAAAAATATTTAGTGCAAGAAAGTGAAAGCCAGACATATTGACTGCTACTGTTGGGTGCGATATTTGGCCAAATATTATGTGGCTACTATTCTTCTGACGGTAATTAAATAATTCTAAATTTTATTGTCCACAAGTTTTTCTTTATTGGCATTTGCATTTTTTTAAAAAAATATAATTTTATGTTAGTACTTGGTAGAGCTGTATTCTTTTGGTTGGTAGAAGGCTTTTTTTCTTTTGCATATATAAATTAATGCTATTTCCCATTTCATGTGACAATTCTCTGTTTTTTTTTATAAATTCTTTTTAATATATATAAAAGTAACTTTACATAAAAGAAAAAATTATATTATATGTTATAGCTATAGCTCGTACAAATTACATTTTATAGTAAATATAGATATATAAAAAGTAATTGTATAATTTGTTTCGATATATATATACAAAAGAATTAATTGTATACTTTATTTTATATAATTGACAAAAGAAAATTAGGCAAGGAAAAAATTATATTTGTGTAATCATAAGTTGTATACGATGAAAATATATGCATTTGTATTTGTATATACAATTTTCTCTCGTTTTATATAAACACAATGTATACTGTTGTGTTTGTATAAAGTGAGAGAGGCGAGTGAAGAGTGACTAGCGAGGTCTGGAGAGTGGCGAGCGAGATATGGAAGAGGGGAGACAAAGGAATGAAAATATATGTATACATATAATTTTCTCTCGATTCATACAAACACAAAACACATTTAATATGTTTATGTTTGTACGAAAGTGAGAGAGGCGAGCAAGATTCTACCAAGGAGAGAGGCGACAATAGCAACAATTTGTTATTGAATACAATTAAATTAAAACATATTCGTAGCATGTAATTTAAATTAATAATTTGTTATTATATACGATTATCCTATATATAATGGTAATGTTCAAGCTAATTTGCTATTTTTTATCACTATAAATATTAGATAAATTTATCTATTAAAATTTGAATTAATAGAGAATAATTAGTTTATTTATTTATTTTAATTTGTGTGATATATTTTCTTTAATTCGTCACAAAAATTCCATCTTAATATAAATGAATAATTCTTTTTATTGTTAATATATATCCAAACTAAACTAATGGTCAAGAGTGTTTTAGGATACAAATAATAAAAAAAAAAATTAAAAAAATATTATTTAAAAAATCAAGACGAAAGAGTAATATTATTACCTAATCAAGAATTAAACCTAAAACTACATTATTATCAGCCAACTTTATTACTTCTTGAGTCACGCTTTTAGCTACATGTGACACTTTATTTAGTCATCAAATGATTTCTTTAATCTTTTTGTTATTTATTTTATT